CACACAATTAGCAGAAGCAACCCGTGAAGGCACACAGGTAGAAGAGATAAAATGCAGTAAATAAAAAGATAAGAGTAACAAATTCTCACGTTTCCCCAATACCCTAGAGGGTCCCCGGCAACGGCGCCAAAAACTTGACACGCCAAAACAAAACACCAATCTGCGACCAAGTATAATCGCAGACCCGGGAATGCAGTAACAGGCAAGTTATATTATCAACCCGGGTTCTAGATCTACTGCTTACTCAGTGATTCTCTGTTATCTATCCAACTAAAGTAAGTGATTGTTGTTTAAAAGCAAAAGCAGAAAGAAAGCAAGAAATTATTCGGTTTTCTCAAGCAGGAAAGAGTCACTCGGGAATGAATCCCCCTAGCTCTTTAGTTAGGTTTCAATTGTATTTCCCTGGGTTGATTTACTCTTGATTAGACTGCGGAAGATCCGACAGTAGCTTGGAATCTCTTAAGCTGACCAAGCCCTCTCAGTCTAACTACCCGGCAGACGACTAGTCTTCACCGGGATAGAAAGCTGAAGCAGTAAGAACAGAACTCCACTACTGGAATTGGATTCCAGTAAAAAGCAGTAAAATGGCTAACTCTCGTATAGCCAATCTCCTACTATCGAATGATGAGACTCTAGCAACCTAATCAGATTCTATCTATCTCAAATTGCAGCAGGAATCAGGAAAAGTTGATCAGACTTCAATTGACTCAATAAACATGCATCATTCGATTAAAATCAAACAGTAATATCATCCCAAGTCATTACAATCAATCCCTAACACATAGAACTATGGTTCTTCATCCCCAAGTGAGAGAGGGGTTCTACTCCATAGAGAGAGAGAGGAAAACAAGATACAAAGTAGTCATACTCATAAAGATGAGGAAAATCTGCTCTGGGATGATGATTTCCACTCCTATGACGATCTCCAAGCTTGATTTGATGAAACCCAGCTCCAAGACGGCCAGAAATATGAGTTGCACGCCCGTGTGATTTGTGGGTGTGCCCGTGTGGCCTCCTTTGTGACTTGCTTCGCGCCCGATCTTCGTCCAATCGACCCCAAACTCGCTCCCAAGCCTCCATTCACGTACTAGGACCTGAAATATCACAAACAAGCACAACCTAGCGTGAAATCGGCCAAAAACACGAGAAATCACATCTCACACGGTGTAAGAACAGGGGTAAAAACATGTGTAATTAACGGTCTATCACACCCCTTTAACCAAAAGGATTTCCCCATCTTGATCCATAATAATCATCCCGCCTATCGAATGAGATCCGCACCCAATGAATCCGTTGGTGGGATGGAAGACGGGAGACCACGGTCCACAGGAAACTAATCCATTCCCGGTATTGCTGGTGGAATTGGCGCATGAGCGCAGGGATCCCAAACTGTTTTCCTTCGAAGACAACCTAGTTCCGTGAACGCCAGATCCTCCACAGGACCGCCACCACCGCCATGAAAAGTTGTGGTTGAGCAATTAGTAACATCAACATTTTCAAGAAGAGCAAGAAGGTGTGACGAGGCAAACTTGACCAAGATATTCAAGTCCTGAAAGATCTCATAAAGCTCCGGCCACAAGGCAATCAAGAAACAAAAGTTCCAATGTTTCTAATTCAGCCCAACAAACCGGACACCTGGGAAGCACCTGAACATCCTTCTCAATTAGGGATTCCTTCTTCGGTAGGATTTGGTTGAAGAATTGCCAAACAAACACTTTCAATTTATGTGGAATATTGGCTTCCCATAGCCGAATCCAGTTGGATCTATCCATCCAACTAACCAAGGCTCTCCATCGCTCACCCTGCTGGTCTAGCAAGACAGCGAATGGTAGGCCGACTTCACCGAGACCAACTCTTCAGCCGTTTCATGCCAAATTATTTTGTCCTCAACCCCCTGACGAGGAAGAGAAATTGCTTTAATGGTGTGACAAGTTGTCGGGTCAAAGCACTGACTAAGTCTTAGATCACACCAGCGCCCCTCTCCTTGGCAAAGAACCTATGCCACCGACAAGTCTCCTCCCTCAGGAATCACCTGGGAATTATATATTGGCGGGTGGGGATGTAGGCGAGGAATCCAATTGGAATGAAGCAGTGATGTTGTCTGACCATTGTCAATCTGCCATCGTAACCCCTTTACCAATAACTGTCTCGGATAGAGGATACTCTGTCATCCCCACGATGGGCGAGATCCCACTTTATAAACCTGGGCTAATAGGGAATTTGGTTCGTTAAGTATACACCAACCAATTTTGGGTAAGAGAGCCTGATTAAAATGCTCGATGCGGAAAAACCCCATTCCCCCATTGTGCTTACTTCTGCACATATTTCTCCAGGACATCCATCGTATCCTAGACTAACCCTCCTCAACACCCCACCGGAATCTAGCCACATGTTTGTCCAAGAGGCGACAAAGGGAGAGAGGTAACTTGAAACATGACATCACATGCAACAACAATACCAGAGGGACTGATTTAATCAAAGTCTCATTCGTTGCCCAAGATAATGTTTGTTGCTTCCACCCCTGAAGTCGCTCCAAAAACTTCTCCTCCAAGTACCGGAATGTAGCCATTTTTTAGTGGGCTATTCAAGTAGCAACCCCCAGGTATTTGTCGTGGACTCCCACAGGCCCGACACCCAGAATCTGAGGCAAGAACTCTTGGTCAGACAACGATATTTTATTAAAGCAAACTATCGATTTAGCCAAGTTGACTCTTTGACCACTAAGTTCTTCATATTCATTCAACACCTTGATCAAATTTTCATATTCGTGAAGATATCCTCAGAGGACTAAATGAGAGTCATCCGAAGGGAAAAAAAAAACAGATGAAATATTCTGGGAGCTCTAGGGGCAACTTATACCTTCTCCATTTTTTCTTCAGAAATAGCTTTACGGAGGAGCGCCACAAATCTCTCCATCAAATCATGAACGAGAGCGGAGATAGCGGATACCCCTTGCCGAAGACCCCTAGAGGGTGTGAAGAACCCTTAAAGCGAACCATTCATATGAACCGTAAACGATGTGGAGCGTAGGCATTCCTGTATCCATCCTCTCCATGTAAAGTTAAATCCCATCTTATCCAAAACAGCAAAGAGAAATGACCATTCGACTCTATCATATGCCTTTTCCATGTCAACCTTTAGAGTCATTACCTTTTCTTCCCTCGTGTTTTAATTTTCAAGTTTTGCATTAACTCATGTACTAGCAGAACATTCTCCACTATATGTCATTCACGGATGAATGTGTTTTGACCCTCCGAAATGATTTGCGGTAAAAAACAGGCCAACCTTTCAGCCATGATCTTCGTTATATTCTTATAAATAAATTGGCATAGGTTGATTGCTTTGATTTGCTTCTTGCTCTCCACATTGTCCACCTTAGGGATCAGTGTCAACCACGTATGATTAAAGCTACGGAACATCCTGCTCCTAGTGAAGAACGAACAGTCAGCTTCAATCACAGAATTGTCGACAATACCCTCAAAAAGCTTTAAAAACTTTCCCATGAAGCCATCAGACTTGGGAGCTTGTTTTGATCCCATAGAGAAGACCGTTTGCCGAACTTGACGAGGAAGGACTTCGGCCATAAGACTATCATTCATTTCAGCAGTAACACGATGGGCTATGGGAAAATTCAGCCACTCGCTTCGCCATTCTTTTAGACTAATATCAATAACATAATTATTGAAACTAAATGGTTCATGATATGTGCAACTTATAATCCAAACTCACCGGCCTACACATAATCAAACTACAATGTATATAATTGATATTTGACATTGGTGAATATGATGGTTGGTTTTAGTTGTAATGACTAATTGGTTTATGATATCATACCATCGTGGTGGTAGGATGGTGATAGACGGTGATATTATTGTTTCAAGTTTTATATAAAAATATATATAAAAAGTGGATATTCTTTAGTAGATCATAATGAGTTCATTTTATATTTCAAAATTTCTTAAACTCCGAATTAAAACGAAGAACATACAAGTCAATTAAGAAAAATAAAAAATTAAACAATATATTGAATCTCAACTATCATATATCCCACTTAAATTTATGTTATAATATCATTGTCATATCATAGTGGTATCAAGTTGGTATGGCAGTGGTAAGATAGTAATAAGTGGTATCTTCGAAAAAAAAATTGATGTCGTAATATCTATGTCATATCATAGTATTATTATGATAGTGTTGTCCATCTTACGATAGTGATAAGATCATGATATAGTGATAATATTACAACAAACATGTATAACCGAATGACTATATTTCTCTTTCAAAATATAGCAAAATCAACATCATTGTGTAGATCATATTTAATGTGCTATTACCATACTTTTTTTTAATTTCAAGTTTAAACGAATTATATTTGCTATCAACATGATATGACAGTGATAAAATTACAACCAAAACGTATTTGGAATGCCTATTATTTCTTAAAATATATCACGATGAATATCATTAGATACATCATAATTAATACGTTCTTTCCATGCAGATTTAAAATTTCAACTTAAAAATGAAGGAGATATGACATGGTCAAGAAAAATGAGAAATTGAATAAAGTAAATTTTAACACATCAAAGGTATCCTCTCTCTTCTAAATTTTGTGATAATCAAAGCAAAATAAATAAAAAAATAGAGGGGCACATTCCCTCCTTATCATTATATGAGTTGTGGGCAATTACATAAGAATTTTTTTTACAAATCATTATGAAGTAAAAATAAGGTTAAATACACTTGTATATCCAAAACTTTCACGGTTGTGCCAATAATATCCAAATTTCCCGAAATACCACTTATATCCAATTCCTTCACATTCTTTAAATGTGTTTTTGGATATACAAGTGTATTTAACCAAAAATATATTGGGAAATGGATAGATTTGGCAAAGAACAACTTTAAAACATGGATATAAGTGGTATTTCGGGAAATTTGGATATTATTGGCACAACCGTGAAAGTTTTGGATATACAAGTGTATTAAACCTAAAAATAACAAGGTGTGCAGCAACAAAGCCCAATGAAATTAAAACTAATCATGTACTAGACAACCAAAGTAGGCTTCAACAATCCAAACGAAAAGGCCCATAGACAGGTCCAAACATTAGGACATTCCAAAGCCCATAATAGAAACCCTAGCCACGGATCAAAGAAGCCAGACGGAGGCAGTCGTGAAGCATCCTCCTATGAGCAACCCACCGCAAGCGAACCTTTGGTCATCAGAGGAAACCTCCCTGGGGAAAACCAGACACCAGACACGGACAAGCATCAACGCCGACCAAAGATGATGAAACAGGAAAGCGAAAAGAGAAAGCTTCCTCCGGCAGAAGATGACTCTGGCAGAGACTGGCTGGGGAGAACTAAAATCAGAACCACTCCAACATTCACCAAGCTGCAACCGAAGCGCTCTCACACGGACAGAAAAGTGACGACAGTTGAAGGGAAGAGAGACATGCAACAGAACATGAAGCAGAGGAGCAACCCCAATAGCAGACAAACTGTAGCGAAAGGCATCTGAAAGAGCCTAACCAATCTGAGCAAGACGAAGAAACCAACAGAAAAGGCGACTTCCCTGCCCTCAACTCCACAAATCTATATCCAAGGCAAACATGCCCTTGCATCTACGGGACACCCGCATTTTTAGGTGAAACGTGTGGAGGTAGATATCAGAAACGAATAGAAGAGAGCAACCTGAAAATACGAATCCCTCAAACACCCACCGGGAGAGAACCAACACAAATCTGAAAAATACCAGAAAAGGTGGTGAACAAAATCCATCTCCGAATGAGAGGAAGAGGCAGAAACCATCCCGAATGGGAGGTTTATGGCAAGATCCACAAGGGATTGGAGAAAGGAGAATGCAGAAATGAAAAAAACCAAAAATCAAAGAAAATGGATTGTCGCCGGTCACCCGAAGGTGGACCGGCGCCCCCCCCATGACACTTTCAAATTAAAGGTGCAAACAAGGCAGAGAAAAGTAAAGTTAGAGAGAGGAAATATTTTGATGAATGAGTTCGATCAATCTTATGATTTTGTACCATATATGCTATCATATATTATTAAGGGTTTTTTTAATATAGCATAATAATTTTATTTAATTTTTTACCAAAAAAATAATTTATTTATTATTAATATATGAAATATATTTCTTGAAAGTTGGCAACAAATTAAAATCCATGCTACAGATTTTTAGCAACAAATTAAATGGATTACAAAATTGGCAAATTAATCAAAATGATTAACTCTATTACCAAATTACCTCTTATATATTACTTGTTTTCTTTTGTCTGAGGCGTACAAGTAGCTCACAATATAATACAAAAGAACGAACAAAGGTTGAGAGAAATATTGGTAGAGTTAGTTTTAATATCAAATAGAGGAGTTAAAGTAAATGGCGAAGGTTGCACTAGTTGTGTTGTTATCCGTCCTGCTATTCAACTTAGCTGCGGCAAGGAAAGGTAATTAAGTTTCTCACGATAATATCCGCACAAATTCATCTCAATGATGTACCTATTCGGCATATCAGGAGCGTAATAAAAAATCTTATTTATTTTGATTTTAATTTAATTTTTTATAAAAAAACACACTAATGAAAATCAACATAATGATGTTTGTTAGTTTGTATTTTGAGAAAAATATGTGTTGTCATTTTGCGAGTTGTAAGTGTTTTACATTGTGATACTTACGGTCAGTTTGTTTGGTTGAATGAATAATTTACAGTGGAGGGTGTAAAATGGTGTAAAACCACGGACACGTTCGTCGGAGGATGCGGGCCAGAACAATGCATTTTGGATTTTTCAGAGAAGTATGGGAATGTGGATGCTGAAAATTGCATATGCAACAGCACAGCTTCTGGGTCACACCATACCTGTTCCTGTCAAGTTATCTGTGGCTCAATCCACAAAGGCCATCAAATTAACTGATTAAATGTATAACAAAATTCCATTCAATGTAACAATTTGTTAAGAAATAAAATCAAGTGGATTTCGATACCTACCTTGTCTCTTCACCTGTCAATAAGATTCGATATATGTTGTCAAACTTATATACATGCATGTTATTTCCTTAACCCAGACCGTTCTCAAAGTGAATTCGATTCTTTCTGAGAAAATTACACTTTGGGAGAATTAGTAATTAGGGGCGGACATAGGTGAGAGAGAAGTGTGTCAAGCAACACACTTCTGTTCGCATGAAAATTTTGTGTTTTGTCATTATAAAATTTTGAAATTAAGATCTATGACACGTTTATTGTAATCGTGAACTGTTTTTTTTTTATACATGGAACGAGTTTATTGTGATATGCAAAATTATATTCATTTTCGATATAGTTCGAAAGAAATATCATCTATTAGCACTCGTTACCATCCTACCATTTTCATTTGTAGCTTAAATTAAAAAAAAAAAAACTGAACAGAAGGAACATGTACAATGTGCTCTATAGTGATGCAAAAATTTGTGAAAAATACCACCCTATATCACTCTGGTACATGTTGATAACTAGTGGTGGGCGGTGGAGAAGGGTGGTAAATGGTAATTATTATATTTCTACTATAATGTATGCAATCATTTTACGGAATAGATTAGCGTGGTTACTCAATTTTGAGTAATCATGGTGGCTACCTAAATCTACACCCTTAATTATCTTTATTTTACCCTACCGCAACCATCTTCCTAGCCGCCATCTCTCCTCCTCCCTAACTCCCTCTCTCTGCCCCACCCCACAACCCCCGCTGCCTACCACCGCCGTCCCCTTGCCTGCCATCCCTCCTCCCTCCCTCCGCAACGAGCGCGACGTTGACATCCTCCCCTACGCGTGCGACTTCAAAGTTCTGTCGGGACTGCTACATCAAGCTGGATGAGGTCACCGTCGACAGTAATTCTCACCCGCTTCCACTCCCTCCACCTAGCACCATGTCTAAGATGCACCGCACGCCTCTTCCTCCATGAAATCCACCATGTGTAAGATGGAGCGCCGCCTCTCCCTCGTGAAATCCACTAAGGGGTCAGTTTGGTTTAGGGTCCATCCGCCACCATTCTCTTCCAATATAGGTAATTGTATTTATTGATTTCTGAAATGGTATTTATTGATTTCACAATATTAGTTGTATTGGTTTATTTTGGTATTGATTCTGAAATGGTATTTATGGATTTTCTTTGGTAGCTACCTTGCATTTTATTTTGGTACTGTTTGCATTATGCTTTGATAGTGTTTGCGTTATGCTTTGGTGGTTACCTGCATTTTCTTTGGTAGTGTGTGCATAACGCTTTGGTAGTTACTTGAGTTTGTGTTGGTTAGATGGAGCATTATGTTTTGGTAGTTATCTGCATTTGGTTTGATAGTGTTTGCATTTGGTTTGGTGGTTTCTATGTATTTGTTTTGGTAGTGTTTGTATTGATTTATTTATGCAATGGTATTGTTTTGATTCCACCGTAGTAGTGGTATTGGTTGTTTTGGTATTTGTTTGACTTTTGTAATGATATAGATTGTTTATATTGGTAGTTTCATGTAATGGTATAGATTTATTTCTGCAATGGTATTGATGTTTTTCAAAATTTTAGTGGTTGTCTAATGGATTGGTAGTGATTTCATGTTTTTTCTTTTGCAGAAAGATTGAGAAAAAATATGGAAAGAAGATCTGGCTGGAGATTACGGAAGTGAGAGAAAGAGAAAGAATTGTAATTAATAGTTTTTTGTAACTACCTAAAATGTAATTTATTTAAATTAATTAATTAATATAATCACGGTAACCGCTCCCATCATTTTACATTGTGGTATATTCATACCAGCGTAATATAATTTCATGTACTACCAAGCATTGCCATCATGGTATAGACTGATAATATATGTATCACTTTATTTTGTTTAAAAATTTATCAAACTTAATGTCAAGATCATTATTAATTTGAATTTTTTATGTATAAATAAAATTGAATTCCAAATTAAAAAAAATAAGATATCCCGTTGAATTAAATTAGAAAATAAATTATAAGGTACTGAGCTCCGAATGCAATGTTGTTCTTGTTATATTATTAGCTAAATCTGAAATATTTATCAATTTCAATTTTATTTTCAAATTGGTTCCTTTCCAATTATTAAAAGCATTTATATATTTATCTACTATTATTTTCCAACTTCTCCAAAAATATTTACTAGAAGACTGTGAGGCCATTGCCAATATACTCAGGTTCGGGGCATTAGGGGTTAAGGAAAAGTACTTGGAATTCTTGTCGGTGGTGGCACATTCTAAGGCGCAGACCTTCAGATATTTGGAGGAAAAGTTGCTTCTGAAGTTGAAGGGTTGGAAGCGAAGGGACTTATCCTCAGCGATGAAAGACAATTTGCTTAAAGCGGTAGCATCGGCACTACCGGTTCATGCTATGTCTTGTTTTAAGCTCCCTGCTACTTTATGTCGGAGATTGGATAAGTACATAGATTTTGGTGGGGGTTCACGAATGGTCAGCCTAAGGCACACTGGATGTCTTGTAGATGCCTTTGTAGGAGTAAACATGAAAGAGGTCTAGGCTACAGATTTATAAAGGGAAATATTTCCCTAATGGTTCAATATGGACTACACAACCTAGGTCACGACTGTCTTGGGGGGTGGCACGGGCTCCTACATGGTCGTGCCCGACTAATACAAGGCATGGGATGGCAAATTGGTTCGGGGGAGAAATTTTGATTGATTCCACAGGATGGATCCCATTGTTGTATCGAGAAAAGCCTGAAACGATTCCTAGGGTACAACTGGTGGGTACAAAAATAGTGGATCAAATGATTGATCGTGATAAGGGAAGATGGTGACTAGATTTCCTACATTCGGCTTTCTCCCCGAAGACGACTCTAGCTACATATGTTAGCAATTCCTTTACCGTGGGAGCCGAAACTTGATAGACTGGTCTGGAGAGAAGATTGGGAATCTAACATGAAATCAGGGTATAGGTTGGGGGACAGACTTTCGCATCTGGGAGCATGAGATTGTAAGCTGAGTGTAGTACGATAGATCGGCAGTTTTGGATCAAGATCAGAAGTTTGCAAATTCCACCAATGATGAACTTCTTGTTATGGGACAATCCAAGTACCAAATCGGAAATACAAGGGAAGGAACCCTTATATATAAGTGCCCACCAAGCTCATTAGTACGAGGCCTTTGTGGAGGACACCCCAAGAGTAAAACCGTGTGGGTTTGGCCCAAAGCAGACAATATCGTACTAATGGAGTAGCCCGATTTGTGACAAGTGGTATCGGAGCCTGGTTCGGTGCGGGGCGGTGGACGTCATTTTGGCCCAAAGCGGACAATATTATACTAATTGAGCGGCCAGGTTATAACAAGTGGAATGAGTTTGGTGGACAATAACATACAAGGGTTCTTTCCCTTTTATTTCCGTTGTGGTACTTTGATTGTCTCATAACAATCCTCCCCTCAATCCAAGGACCACGAACTTCGTGTCCTCTCCTCACTGATTATCTTGATCCGCCATACACCTTGTATCGATGGGATTCTCGATACAAGGATTTTTCCTAACGCATAACTCTCTTTCATCTGCCAAATCAAACGCAAATCTCTCCTGGATCCACTAAATATACGCGAATCACCTTTGACTCACCAGACACACGCAGATCTCAAACCCCGAGGTCACCGAATGAGAGTCTTACCAAACTGACGTCCACCACCCCGGATCCGCCGAACCAGGCTCTGATACCACTTGTTATAACTGGGGAGCTCAATTAGTACGATATTGTTCGCTTTGGGCCAAGCCCGCACGGTTTTACTCTTGGGTATCCTTCCTCAAAAGGCCTCTTACTAATGAGCTTGGTGGACACTAATATACAAGGGTTCCTTCCCTTGTATTTCCGATGTGGTACTTGGATTGTCCCATAACAATCCTCCTTTCAAGACAAGGACCACGAACTTCGTGTAATCACCTCAGCGATTATCTTGATCCGCCAGACACCTTGTATCGATGGGCTTCTCGATACAAGGATTTTTCCAAACGCAGAACTCTCTTTGATCCGCTTTCTAAATGCGTAAATCTCTTTGATCCTCCAAGCCCAAACGTAGATCTCTCCTGGATCCACCAAACAAACGCAAATCACCTTCGACTCGCCAAACCAGACATAGCCCAAACATGGATCTATCGTGGATCCACCAAACTAGATGCAGATCTCAAATCCTGAGGTCCACAAATGAGGGGTTCCACCAAACTGACGTCCACCTCCGTGGACCCGAACCAGGTTTTGATACCACTTGTCACAAATCAGGCTGCTCTATTAGTACGATATTGTCTGCTTTGGGCCAAGCCCGCACGGATTTACTCTTGGGTGTCCTCCCCAAAAGGCCTCGTACTAATGTGCTAAGTGGACACTAATATACAAGGGTTCCTTCCCTTGTATTACTGATGTGGTACTTGGATTGTCCTCATAACAATCGTCCCCTCAAGACAAGGACCACCAACTTCGTGTCCTCTCCTCGGCGATTTTCTTGATCCGTCAAACAAACGTGGATCTCTCCTAGATCCACTAGACAGACGCGGACCTCCCTTGATTCGCCAAACCCAAACGTGGATCTCTCCTGGATCCACCAAACCCGATGCAAATCTCAAATCCCAAAGCCACCGAATGAGGATCCCCACCAAACTAACGTCCACCATCATGGACCCGAGCCAGGTTCTGATACCACTTGGCATAACTGGAGAGCTCAATTAGTACGGTATTGTTGGCTTTGGGCCAAGGTCCTAGACTTGTATGTATTCTTTGTGTGCTCTGGAGGATCTGGAAAGCTAGAAATCTGGTGGCTTTGCAAGGACAACAAACCCTACTTAGCATATTGAAAACCCAATTTGAATATCAAGTCCAGGAATGGGAAGGTTTGCCTAATAGGTTGGGGGAAAATCGGGTTGTAGCTGAAGCTATAAGTTTGGCAAGCCATGCGTCTGAAGGGGAGGGGTCAAAAGATGTTCCTTTGATGGAGCAGTGTGTGCAGATTATCACGCATAGGAGATTTTGTTCTACATGATGACTCATGGCGTGATTTATGATGATTTGCTTGATCCTATGCTAGTGGAACTTTTCACTCTTCGGGATACATTCATTTGGTGTAGGCAAAGGGGTCTGCAACATGTCATCATTAATGGATACGCTAAGGTGGTGACCAACAAGGTAAATTCAGGCAATACAATGGATGTGTGTGGTGGAGTAATCCTGGATGAAGTTCGTGAGCTCTTTAAAGTCACTCATGGGTCTAAGGTTTGATTTGTAGATAGACAGAGTAATAGGTTAGTCCATTTGATGGCTAGGAAGACCCTTTCTTTGTTTCCTAGAGAGTGTAATGGGTTTGATTTCGGTCCTAGGTTTGGTCGGAAGTTGGATCAATGTAACTTGATTGTCTTGATTAATACAAGTATTGTTTTGGAAAAAAAAAATAAGCATCATAAAAAAATCATTTGTCAATTGGATTACAATTTCATTATGCCAAATTTAAAATATTCTGAAATTATTATAAAACCAAATTAAACCCCTATATATTATTATTCTGAAAACAACCCCTATAAATATTAGGCCTTTGCTACGATGATTTGCAAGTCACCGTAACTTGCACTTTTCGGTCGACCTCAGTTAGGATTAGGTCGATCTCAGTTAGGATTAGGTCGACCTAATCTGTTGTTTCAGTGTAAAAATAGTTTCATGGTGCCTACTTTGGAGATTCATATCTTACAATTGGCTCAATGGAAATTGGAGATTAATAGCTTGTTTTGAAGCTGGAGTGTCCCTCTACACATTGAAGTGCTCGAGAGATCAAATAATAAGTCCAGAAGACCAATTTATGAACCATATAAAAAGGCTATGCCAAAACTGGGAAACTACCTCAAAATGGCAAAGTCTGTGAACCTGTTTGTGAAGCCTACTTTGGATCTCAATTTGAGAAGCATGGATGAGAGTCGAGTCCAGGGGGCCTCTACCAAATGAAAGTATGTATGTTTTTCTACAAAGGCAAGACATTGGATGAAATATTGGATATCTGGAAGGCTTCAAACAAAAGGCTCGAAGCTGTTTTTCTGGCAGCTTGCTTGTGCTAGAAGGTAGCTTACTTCATAACAACTTCAAGCCTTTTGTTTGAAGCCTTCCATATATCCAATCTTTCATCCAATGCCTTGCCTTTGTAGAAAATCATACCTAATTTCATTTTGTAGAGGCCCCTGGACTCGACTCTCATCCATGTTTCTCAAATTGAGCTCCAAAGTAGACTTCACAAACACATTCCCAGACTTAGCCATTTTCAAGCAGTTTCCCAGTTTTGGCATAACCTTTTGATTAGGTTCCCAAACACGTTCCCATACTGAAACAACAGATTAGGTCGACCTAATCCTAACTGAGGTTGACCGAAAGTGCAAGTTACGGTGACATGCAAGGCACCATAGACCCACCCAAAATATTATGATATGATTTTCTTCTAAATATTAGAAAACAAACAAGAGAGAATCGGCCTATATCAAGCTAGTTGTGAACTGTGATATCAAAAGAGAAAAATGGCAAAGATCAATTTGTTACATCGAGTAGCGGTACTGGTACATAGTTTTTCGAGAGGTTCAATTATGATCATATACTGTTTACCAACACGCCCCCTCAAACTCAAGCCACTTAAATAGGTTTTGAGTTTGCACAATACATGTGCTTTACAAATCAGAGGTTACCAGGATTCGAACCGGAGACTCGTCGATCACAAAAGACTTTGATACCATGTCAAGAACCAGTTAATTCCAATAACTCGAGTTGTTTGGGGAGGTTTAATTATGTATCCTATACCGTTTACCAACAACTATAATAAAAATGTAGATGAACAAGTGTTGATTGTTGTACTGCCCAAGCGTAGATGTGTTCTAAGGTGGATGTTTCTGTACTGCACAACAGATGCTTCTGTACCCCTTCCGGCGATAAACATGTTTCTAATTGCCAAGTTATTTTTCATGCATGAAAATATCGTCACTGACAATAAGCGATGTGTGTAGCTGTTTTCCGGCGAGGAAAAACTGGTGTTTGAACACAATGAATGCACCTTTGACTTCTTGAACAACGATAATTACACGGTTCAATCCTCTCCGAACAATGTTCGAACTAGGGTATTTGATGATTTTGATGGCTGATAAAACTAAGTTACGTTACTCCTACTGCTATGGAGGTTCAGTGAGAGCTCCAACTACGGCTAAAGCTACATTGCAGAGAAAAGGATAAAGTTCGACATTGGGTGTCAAATGGTTGGTTATGGAACCCTTGATTCGTCTTTGTTTCCCCTATTTATAGCCATTACTTGTAACCGCCTCTTGGTAACTGCTGCTCTACTTGGTGCTTGACGTTGCTTGCTTGATCCCATGACTGTCTTGCATGTTTGCCACTTGATACCTTGCACCTTGATGACTTAACTTGATAGCTAGCCCTTGTGCCATGGAGGTGTCTTGTTTGGCTTCATCTTGATGTTTGATGCGTTGGTGATACGCGTGCTTGACCTGTTTGCATGACATCATGCTTGACCCCCTTGTGGTTGGCTCTCATGGTACCTAGTGCTTGACCCCCTTGGACTATGTCATGCTTGACCCCCCCCCCCCCCCTTGTACTGTAGTACATGGGAGGTGGTCGAGAGAAAACTCCATACTTAATTGAATCTCATCCCCAGTGTGACTGTAGGCAAAGTGAGCGGTGAGATGTCACTACCACGTCTAGGGGTACTTGTGATAGGTAGACGACATAGTGCTTGACCCCACTTGCATGACATCATGCTTGACCCCCCCTGGGATGATGTCATGCTTGACCCCCTTATGCTTGGGTCTCAACACTTAGACAAATTTCTACTCCTTTGTCGCCACATCCTAGAGGCATTCACGTTTCCCTTGTATAGGGGTACTGGTGATAGCTCTCCTTGCACGACATCATGCTTAACACCCTAGCACAAGGTAGGTAGACGACATAGTGTTTGACCCCACTTGCATGACATCGTGCTTGATCCCCCTTGGATGATGTCATGCTTGACCTCCCTTGGATGATGTCATGCATGAACCCCCTTGTGCTTGGGTCTCAACACTTAGCCAAATTTCGCCTTCTTCCCTTACCTCGTCTAGAGGTAGTTGATATCACCCTCCTTGCATGGCATCATGCTTGATACCAGGGTGCAAGGTAGGTTGACGACCATGGTACTTGGTGCTTGACCCCCCTTGCATGACAGCATGCTTGACCCTCCTGGGATGATGCCATGCTTGACCCCCCTTGTGGTGGGTCTCCATACTTAGCCAAATTTTGCCCACATCATGCCGATTTGGGTGGTTGATGTTGAAGGGTGTCAACGCTTGACACTTAACCCCTCTGGGATGAGAGGTGGGTGTTTGGTGGGTCAAGTGGTGTGTGTTGAGGTAGCTGGTATGAAACCCAAAATATCATCATTTAGGCCCAGTTTAAACCAATTTAATTGATATGGTTAAGTTGTCCTTATAAATCACTGTCACTCCTTGAAAATAATCAATGTGGTATTGAGTGATTTTTTCGTGGTAAACAAATGCCCCCAACTACTTAGTACATAAGGACTATGGACTAAGTAGTTAACGTGAACTACACCACTAAAAAAAATGCTCGCTGGTTTTATTAATAAAAACCAAAACATAGTAAACTACCCCTACACCTTATTCAACCTTGGTTAGCATTGGCCTTGAAAATTAACAGGCCAAAATCAATCACTGCCTCCACTATTCTTTCCCAATATATCATCAATGCCATGACTAGCTACTCAAGTCATGCTTTATCACGAGGGTATCATGTCATGCCTTAAGGTGTGAGCCGTTTGGCATGCCGGCCATCATGGTGGCTAGTTAACTTTGAACTCATTGACAACCCATGTCTCCAAAGGAAAGAGACATAGGGGTTGAGAAGCTAAGCTTGTCATTGATCAATCAATCATTTAGCACCCCTTCCTCTTACGACAAGCAGGCACATCACAAATCTAACTAAAACTTGTCACTTCGACCTTGTATTTTATAGCCATGTTTGGCTTTTGATTTTCCATTTCTCTTCTTTTTTATACTAATATTTTATTTATTCTAATATAGCAAAGAGTGACATGCATTACTGTTCTCCATACCCTTTGACTACCACCAACGTGCCAAAGGTGTATTACCCACTGCCAAGTCCATAGATTAAACCAGACAAGCCATCCGTAGACCACATATCTACTTTCCTTACAAAGAGAGGGCTCCTTATCAGTCGGTTTTGAATTTCCCAACTCAACCATGGATTGTGCCGGATCCACTTGTCTTGCCTTGGTGGCCTTGTAGGGGGTCTCGTGATCCTCTGTCTTAGCTACCTTACTAGACATGTTGGATTGATGTTGAAATTGATGTGCTTGTCTCGTTTCTGGTGATACTCTAGGTATTCTCAACTCATTGGGCTCATGAAAGAGACCACTAGTTTTTATATTCCTTGGTTCACCCCAGCCATGCTTGTTCATCCCATATAGTTGGGAAGAGGAGTGGTTGGACTCAACGAATCGATGACCACCCTTGTGGCCAACATGGCCCTGTTCAACACTTACACCTTGCTGACTTCTACACGTAGCACATAACAACCTCTGGTTCTTTGTATGACCATGTTTGGTTATTGTATGCCCAGATGTCTTATTCATGCCCCCTTGTCTGCCATTCATGTTTGGCATGCCATGATGGCTGTTAAGCATGGACTTGCTTCTTTGTCCATCCATTAACACACTCTCATACTTAGAAATTTTTTGAGTGGCTTGGGTGAGTTGCACACTCTTGGAATCACCCTTCACTCATTTCTTCACATTTGATGACATGTCCCCCTGTCCATTGCATGGATCCGGAGACATGCCCCCCATGCCATTACTCATGGTCAGTGACATGCCCCCCTTGCCACACTTAGCTAAATCATCATTCTTATTACTAGCATGTATGACTTGGGGCTTCTGGGCTTTCTTGGGTATGTCTATATGTCCACTGCTAATGGTTGATAACATGTGTCCCACTCGTTTCTTTACAGACGATGATATGCCCCCTACTCTACTACATGGGGCTAGAGGCATGAACCCCTTGCCACACTTAGCTACAATAGCATTCTTGCTAGAATCACATGTGACTTGAACTTGTTGTAGATTGTTGGGTACAACTGTCAACCCGCTACTTGTGGTTGATGATACACCCCCATGCCATTCTTAGACAAAGAAAGTGGTGTTCTCTTGAACAAATCCCTTTGTACACATTCCTTGACTTCAACGTGCCCCCCAGCCTGACACTTCACATTCAAATTGTCAGATGGTAGGCTTCCATGCCCCCCTAATGGTTGGGCTGACCCGTTGGGGATGGATGACACCAAAGTTGAGCAAGATTTTGGAATTAAATCTACAGAAACTACTCCTTCCCCACTCGTCACACTAAGGCCAGATCTAGCTTCAGGGGTGGTTCCTAGAGTAACTGTTTGCACAAGCGGATGTTCCCCATGCGTAGTGAAGGTTGGTGAGAGATTTTTATTATAACCGTTATGTTGAAGATGTAGTTGACTTATCGTCGGATGCGGTAAGTTCCCTGACCGTGGATGGGTAGTTCGGCCACCGGAGAACAGGATACTTGTATACTCAGTAGCTGTACTTGGTGGCGGATCTATACCATTTTTTTGTAAAGAAATTTCTTGCACCACTGGTTCTATAAAATCATTTTTAAGCTCATCCAAGCAATTTGTATTTTCTATAGTTGCTTCAAGCAATTCATCCAAACGTCTATCTAACATAGAACTAAAAGAAGCAAGTTTTAGGCTTGTCTGTTGTGAACTTCTAACAAGTTCATTCAAACTCTCTTCCATCAATCGACGGATCTCCACCATCACTTTACGGTTCTCTACCACCATCTTGCAGTTATCATCCACTATTGAGCAGAGTGACATGGCAGTGGTGGTTACATCGGCACAAGGTGCTGCCAGTGGCAAAATCTCAATCATGCCATTGTTTTCGACAACACTTACTATTGCTTGACCAAATTTGAACTTGGCCGCCAACTCCTTCACAACTCCTAGTGAAATATCACCTTCATGTTCTCTCAGTCGTGGAACCATCAAATCAAACACATAGAGTCCCACCAGGTGTGCCAATTTGTTTTCCGGCGAGGAAAAACTGGTGTTTGACACAATGAATGCACCTTTGACTTCTTGAACAACGATAATTACACGGTTCACTCCTCTCCGAAATATGTTCGAACGAGGGTGTTTGATGATTTTGATGTCTGATAAAACTAAGTTACATTACTCCTACTCCTATGGAGGTTCAGTGAGAGCTCCAACTACGACTAAAGCTACATTGCAGAGAAAATGATAAAGTTTGACATTGGGTATCAAATGGTTGGTTGGGGAACCCTTGCTTCGTCTTCGTTTCCCCAATTTATAGCCATCACTTGTAACCGCCTCTTGGTAACCGCTGCTCTACTTGGTGCTTGACGTAGCTTGCTTGATCCCATGACTGTCTTGCATGCTTGCCACTTGATACCTTGCACCTTGATGACTTCACTTGATAGCTAGCCCCTTGTTGCATGGAGATGTCTAGTTTGGCTTCATCTTGATGTTTGATGCGTTGGTGATACTCGTGTTTGACCCCCCTTTCATGACATCATGCTTGACCCCCCTTGTGGTTGGCTCTCATGGTACCTAGTGCTTGACCCCCTTGGACGATGTCATGCTTGACCCCCCTTGTACTGTAGTACATGGTAGGTGGTCGAGAGAAAACTCCATACTTAATAGAATCTCATCCCCACTGTGAATATAGGCTAGGTGAGTGGTGAGATGTCACTACCACGTCTAGGGTTACTCGTGATAGGTAGACGACATAGTGCTTGACCCCACTTGCATGACATCATACTTGACCCCCCTTATGCTTGGGTCTCAACACTTAGACAAATTTCTACTCCTTTGGCGCCACATCCTAGAGGCATTCATGTTGCCCTTGTCTAGGAGTACTGGTGATAGCTCTCCTTGCACGATATCATGCTTGACACCCTAGCACAAGGTAGGTAGACGACATAGTGTTTGACCCCACTTGCATGGCATCGTGCTTGACCCCCCTTGGATGATGTCATGCTTGACCGCCCTTGTGCTTAGGTCTCAACATTTAGGCAAATTTCGCCTTCTTCCCTTGCCATGTCTAGAGGTAGTTGATATCACCCTCCTTGCACGACATCATGCTTGATACCCGGTGCAAGGTAGGTTGGCAACCATGGTACTTGGTGCTTGATCCCCCTTGCATGACATCATGCTTGACCCCCCTGGGATGATGTCATGCTTGACCCTCCTGGGATGATGTCATGCTTGACCCCCCTTGTGATGGGTCTCCATACTTAGCCAAATTTTGCCCACATCATACCGACTTGGGTGGTTGATGTTGAAGGGTGCCAACGCTTGACACTTAACCCCTCTGGGATGAGAGGTGGGTGTTTGGTGGGTCAAGTGATATGTGTTGAGTTACCTGGTATGAAACCCAAAATATCATCATTTTGGCCCAGTTTAAACCAATTTAATTGATATGGTTAAGTTGGCCTTATAAATCACTACCACTCTTTGAAAATAATCAATGTGGTATTGAGTGATTTTTTAGTGGTAAACGGTAGCGATAGTACTTCTTATGTGTTGTCTCTTTGATTTAATGTTACTATTAAGCAGTGTAATGCCTTGAAGGTTCAATGGTGTACTTCGTCCAAATTCTTTGGATAATGCAAAGAATGATTCACTACATGATGGATTTGGATATCAAATTGAATCCATCGAGAAATTCATTATTTTCTTACAACATTTTGGAAATCAAATTTGTGACATTTATAGATTTTGAGTGTTGAATCCATGAAACTCACGAACTTATAAGTCTCACATGTAGGTGTGGGATTTGAGACATGACCATAAATTCATGATGATAGTCTATTTTTATTTTCTCATTTGAAAATAAAAGTGTTTTAACTTTTAAGTTAAGAGTAATAAGAAAATTTATAAATCCAGCATTTCTCAAAATTCAAGTTTTGAACATAACTCTCATTTTTCAAATCACAAGCAAACTGTACATATGCATCAAACTGATAGTTGAAAGGACAACCCTAAAGAGCATGGGTTGTTACTGTTAGCATATGGTATATAATCCACGATTGGACCTCTCCCAACAACTCGAGTTATTGGGACCAACTGGTTCTTGACATGGTATCAGAGCCTTCTGTGACCGAGAGGTCTTGTGTTCAATTCCCGGTGATCCTCATTTGTTTCTGTTAAGCACATGGTGTCTGGTGCCTGTGCAAACTAAAAGCCCATATATGGTGGCTTTCGTTGCCTCTCCCAACAACTCGAGTTATTGGGACCAACTGGTTTTTGACAGTTACTATCAACAACCAAAACCTGCTGAAAACTTACACCAAGAGTTTTAATGGCATAATCAAAAGGTATATGAGTCATCTGAAATTTGGACTTTTTAAGCGTGATATAGATTCATTTTTATATTTACGTGTTACTTATGAAATTCAATCCTGAAAATTCGAAGGAAAACACCACTAACATGGTCTCCAACAAGAAAACTACATATATGCATCAAACTGATAGTTGAAAGGACAACCCCAAAAGAGCATGGGTTGTTACTAACAAGTAACAACAATCGAAAACTGCTGGAAACTTACACTACGCACTAAGAGTTTTAATGGCATAACCAATAGGTATATGAGTCATATGAAATTTGGACTTTTTTTTAAGAGTGATATAGGTTCATTTTTATATTTACGTGTTACTTAAGAAAGTCGATCCTGAAAAATTCGAAGGAAAACACCACTAAGGTCTCCAGGAAACAATTGATGCATCCAAAAGAGTATATATGTCATATAGTTAATAAATTGAGTATAACTAATCGCTCAATCGACCTGTTTTAGTCACCTATTGAGAGCCAACCTATCGACGATCAACCTGAATAGCTAATTGCTCGAATC